CTCTGAGGAAGAAGCCTGGAAAATTCTAAACATTGGTTCAGAATGCAGCAACGGGGGCCTTTTTCCATCTCGAGACTTGGTCTAAGAACGTAGAGTTTGGCATAAGGAAGAAGATATCCAAGGCCACATTTGGATAAGAGTCTTTGGTTTGTTGTTACACCTGTAGAGCAATGAAGTTGCCCGGAAAATAGGAGACCTCTACGGTGGTTTGTGGAAGTAGATGATGGCAAAGCTTACAAAGAATCTTTCGAGTAGCTAACTTGTTTTTCAAAGAAGTTGTTCGGTTGCATGGATTGCCAAGATCTATCACATCAAATCATGACACAAGATTCCTTAACCACTTTTGGAGAACTTTATGGAAGTGTATGGGTACAACCCTACAATATAGCAATACATTTCACCCACAAACAAATGGACAAACTGAAGTGGTTAACCGAAGCTTAGGCAACTTGTTGAGGAGCCTAGTTGGAGACTACTTAAAGCAATGGGATCCTATCCTACCACAAGCTGAATTTGCCTTCAATGATTCAATTAATAAATCTACAAGGAAGACTCCTTTTGAGGTTGTGTACGATCGGTCACCTAAAAGTGTTGTTGATCTAGTTCTTATAACAGGGTTGCGGCGAGTGAGTGATGATGCCGAAGCTTTAGCTAAATCCATCAAGAGATTCAAGAGAATGTACGATAGAAGCTGAAAGAAAGCAACCAAAGGTATAAAGAAGCTAAGGATAAGCATCTTCGGATGAAAGAGTTTCATGAGGGCGATCTAGTCATGGTTTATTTGCAGCCTGAGAGGTTTCCCATTGGGACCTACCATAAGTTGAAGCAAAAAAAGATTGGTCCATGTCAAGTGCTAAGACGGTTTGGTGACAATGCATATGAAATTGAGCTACCAGCTAATTTGTCGATTTCACCCATTTTTAATGCAGCAAACCTCTTTGATTGCCATGGGGATCTAGAACTAGCAACGAAGGATGGGCGAGGACAAGCACAAAGGGCCAGTAGTTCTAATGAGTTTGACCGAGTAGAGGGTGTAGAAGATGTTCGAGTCACCAACACTTGAAATGGGACTTATTTTGGGTTATTGGTCAAACGGAAAGGGAAACCATCAACTGAGAACTCCTAGATTAGTGAAGAGGAGTTTATGAAGCTAGATGGAAACATGTGCAAGGCTACTAAAATTGTTGCTTGCATAGGGTCGAGCTCTTTTTAACCCGACGGGAATGATGAGGCAAAAAAACAGTGTGGATGTATTCTGTTTTGCATGTTTTTTGTAATGGGATCCCAAATTGTTGTCTTTGGGTAGCTTTGTTGACAGTTTGGGTCCAGGGGTATTTTCGTCATTTTACAAGTCAAGTTTTTTGTCAAGGGCAGTTGGGTGCATTTCTGTTGGGTTTTGGTCTCTTGGGTCTTTTTTGTAACAACACTTATCTTTTGAGGGCTCATTTGAAGTTAGTTTTGTTCTTAAGGCTCCGTTTGTTTGCGATGTATTTATGTACCCCGGTTCGCATTTGCGAGCGTTTGTTTGAAACGTAAAAAAGTAATCATTATCATAGCAAAAATATATTTTCTGACACTTTTGTACTCTGAGAAGAGAGCATTACTGTACCTATTTTTTTATGCAATTTTGTGTTCTTTTGATAATTAACTTTTTGACAAAACTTAATGCATTGGAGCATAAGATAGTTGGAGCATTTAATGATGGGCCCACACTTTTGCACCGAATTCAAACAAACAAGATGAATGCAAAAACGGTTTAAAATGTGAACCGTGTTTGCATTCATGAACCAAAAAATGGGTAAATATGTAGTGTACATATTTGCATTTGCATTGCAACCAAACGCAGCCTAAGGAGTTGCTTGTGAGAGGGAAACATTCTAGGGGCTTATGTGTAAATATTTTAACTGGCTTGTCCAGCAAGCCAGTGGGTCTTATAAAAGAGAAGGGGGCTGTTTCTATAGGGGTCTTTTTTGGTTCTTTCTCTCTTGTTTGAGTTGTAGCTCAACCCCAAATAGGGTTTCAAGTGTTGGGAGCTTGGGTTTTGAAGAGTCAACCCATTTTTGGCACCTTCCAATCCCTCTATCACTGCGCGTCCGTGCAGGAGGCCAGTTTGTTGCCATTATTACTATAGCGAACTATTCCACAGTAGGAGTTTTACTTCAGGCTCAGGTCTGAAATCCCTAAACATCCAACTTATTTGTTGTTTTCAGCTTGGTATTTCTTGCATTTATTGCTGTATACTTGAGGTACTTGTAGAGATGTAGAGTGATAATTATTGCTGTTGTTTTATTTATTGTGGTCCTCACTACTGTTGTTAGTTAGTTCTCTTTATATTTGTTGCTAGGTTGTTGTTAGCAATGTTAGTTTATTAGTTATTTGCATATGTAAGCAGTAGGGTCATTAATGTAATTGCCATCTTATTTTTTGATGCTATTATAAATAGATAAGTGGGGCAACAGCTAAGGCCTATCACTCTTTTCTCTCATCTTTCTCCTCTCTCTTCTTTCTTCCTTTCTTCTTCTTCTCCAATATTTTTTCCTTTTAATTTGCATCAATAATTGGACTGATTACAGTCCAGATTTGCCTACTTGGTATCAGAGCCAATTTAGGGTTTCTCATGTGTGTCTAATCCAGCAGACCACATGAGAATTGCCTAGGACTGGAAGCTTAGAAAGAACTGTTCATCGGCTGATTCTTGGAGGTTACCAGAAGGGTTTAGCAGCTGTCCAAAGGCTTGTAGAGGCTTGGAGAGTGTTTTGGTAATCAAGAAGAACCAGAGAAGGTTAAAAGGATCAAGATTAGGGTTCAGACCAATATTGGAGGTGGCAATCAGAGTTTTCTAGAGTTTTTTCTAGGGTTTGCTCTTAACCCTACAACCAGACTTGACTGTGAACCTATTTGGAAGGTGCGGCTGAGAATTGTTTTTGTTCTCACAAAGATTTCTCCAAGTTTTTTCTTAACCCTACGATCAGACCTGATTATTATCACCTTTTGGGTGATTCCTAAATCTGTTTCAGCATTCCAGATTGTTTTCTAAGTGAATTCTAGACTTGTTTCAACTTCCAAACCTGTTTTTTGGGGGTGAAAACCTTTTTTGGGGAATCCCTTTGCTGAGAACTGGTTTTTCTTGATAGACATATTACAGAAATGGCAGGAGCTGAGTTTAAGACTCAAGGGGGAGGTGTTTTGGGGGATGGAAACATGGGACAAAACAATTTTCAGATCACTACTATTAAATTTGATGGTTCTAATTACTTGGAATGGGCTCAGTCAGCCATGATGGCGATTGGGGGCAGAGGGAAGTTAGGTTATGTGAATGGAGATGTAAAGACACCAGGCAAGGAAGACCCTTCATATGCCAAATGGGTTCAAGAGAACTATTTGGTCATGACTTGACTGTGTAACTATATACAGCCTCATATTAGCTGCAATTATTTGTGGGCAAAAACAGCTAAGGAAATTTGGGAAGTGATGAAGGAAGCCTACTCTCAGCCACTCAATGTTGCTAGGGCTTATGAATTGAAATGTGAAGTAAATAATCTCAAACAAGGAGAGAAGCTGGTTTCAGTTTACTTTTCCATCTTGAAATCCTTATGGCATTAAATTGATCATCTAGAAACTATTGAGTGGAAAGTCAGAAGGATGCAAAAACCTATAGAAAACAAGTTGAGACCAATAGGGTTTTTGAATTCCTAGCTGGTCTGAATTCAGAGTATGATATTGTGAGACAACAATCACTCACAAGGGAGAGTGTAACCTTATCTCAGGCCTATTCTTTAGTGCATAGTGAGAAAAGTAGGAGGAAAGTTATGTAGAAGTTTCAGCCTATGGAATCAGCCCTGACAATGTTCCTGAACAAGAGCTGGTAATAAGAAATCACCAAGGAAAGACTTGCACCACCTTGACTTCTCAATAATTCCAAAAATTATATCACCTTCCCATCAAGCCATGAAACATATTAGTCCAGTTTTTTTCAGATTTTTATTCTCTCTCTCTCTCTCTTCTAACTTCAAAAAGATTTTTCTTGCACATTCTTTCCCCCTAGAAAGAACAAACAAAAGACTTTTTTTATAAATAAGAGGTTTTATTAAATATGCACAAAAAAAAAAACCATTTACAAATGAAGCATCCCTTGAAGAGGAACAATTTTCTGCCTCTCATACACAGCACTACATTACAATTGAACCCAATACAACTTATCATTATTAACCCATTGCTTGGTTAATGTGTCAGCTAGCCCATTTGCAAATCTTTGTATCCATTGTATGCTTATCTGCATAGTCCTTGTCTCTTTGTTAACCATATCTCTTTTACTAACTAACCTACCCATATTCATATCTTTTGCTGTTTGTACTCCATGGATTGCAGCATAAAGTTCAGCCCTTGTAGAGTCTCCAGCCCCAATAGGATCCAAAAACAAAGCTACAATATGACTTTCATTATCCTTAAACACCCCTCCAACTCCCAAGGGTCCCAAGTTTCCAAAGTTACTCCTGTCAAAGTTTAGTTTTATGAAACTATCCTCAGATAGCTCCCATTGCATTTGAACTATCATCTTCTTTGATGAAATTGCAACCACTTCCTCCCATTTTCTTCAGATGCCATCATATGAATAAGGTGAAAAGATATTCAAAGCTTTAACCCAATGTATAGCCCTTCGAATCTATGACCAATTTAGCCATGTTGGTGGATGAAAGAGACGCTCTTTTCTATGACTCTTTTGATACCCTCGATAAGCAGCGAGGTGTATTGGGTAATGAAAACGGACCTGTCAAATAATGTACGAACTTGCTGAAGTGAACTTCTTAGGAATAAACCTTTGTAAGCATAAGTAAGCTCAATAATAAGCACTAAAACAATTCAAAGCAGCATTCCAGTTTTGCTTTAGTCAGTTGAGATCTTGGATAGAAACAGATTTACTTATTAAATAGCACGTTTAATAGTTTGTTCTGCGTTAAGAAAAAAGGACCAGAAAAAAAGAAGTAAACGAATGAACTTACTGATCCTCGCAACATTCGGGTCTTCATCCTGTATCTCATCAGCAGCCTGTAAGATCGCGTCTATATTAGTCGTCCTCCCAAGAGATGGAGGAACAGCACCAGCAAGCCCGCTGGAGGTCCTTTCGTGCCCCTGCCCGGTACTACGAAGCTGCTCTCTCTGTAAGGTCACTCGAACCAGTCGCTCCCAATTATCAAAAACATTTGCCATTTCATCAACCTGGAAATAGAGCCCTAACTCTCGGAGAATTAGAACTCCGGAACAGATCTAGGGCGAAAATTGACCCTTTTTCTTTGTTTCAAGCAGGTTTCATGGATTCCGGGGCGGTAGAACAGTATACACAGCAGGGTGGCAGACACGGTGAGCGAAGACAAAAAGATGAGAATAAACGCGGTGTTGAAAACTTGAAATGGAATGGACACAACTCACTCGAGATCGCAAGGAAAAGAGGAGAGGGGACAGAGAAACAAGAGAGAGGGTCGTTCCTATCATCCTATCTTTCTTTCTGGGTTGGTTTGTAACTTTGTAATGATGAGTCCGAATTTCCTACCCACAATAACTCTACTCACACCTACCGACATAACATCGCAGCACACAGATCAACATATCATCTCATCTTCTCACATGTTAATGTTATGATGCACGGGGAGATTTTTTTTAAAGGTAAATAACTACATTAAACAAAGTGAATATCTACAATGTTGTCAACTGTAGGGATCCCGGTAGGGTAATCAAGTAAAACCAAAAAAAAATATATTGTAGATGAGTTTTTGCCATCTAGGATACCTTATTAAAGTTCCTATTTACAAACGGAAAATTAATAATAGAGTACATATTTGAAACTAAATTCCTAGTACCATCTGTTGAGCATCTGAACATATGAAAATATCCTTTTGATGCCAACTTTGAACTTATGGAGTTTTATTAAAGTCTACATAATTGCAAACAATTCTGCTTGGTCAATAGAAGTGGGATGAGAAGTTCGGCCTCCATTAATTTTTAAACAAATTAAATTTACAGATAATATAATAATACCAAAACTAAATAGTGAATCAGAGATTTTCCCTGCATCAGTTAATATAATTAAATCAGTAGCATTGGAAATGGATAATTGTATTCCACGGAAAGTATTGATTGAATTAGGTTCATGCAATAACTCTATGGACCAAAAAAAAAAGTTTGGTTGACCATATTAGCAATTGTATGTGGTAAAAGTTGCATGCTCCTAAATCATTTTTTATTCCTATCATACCATATGTAATAGCAGGCTATCCATCCTAAGATTTTCAGAAACAATTGATTATCATAAATTTGGTTAGATAAATAGTTAATGCATGAAATCCAAAATCCTTGAAAAATGTTATACAATCGTAGGTTCTAAGGATTCCCAAACAAAATGGCTTGAGAAAATTGACAATGGACAAATAGATGAGTGAAAGATTCTTCTTCCTCCTTGCACATAACACAAAGTTTATCTGAAGAGTCCATAAAAATAAAATTTTTTATTGGTATAAAGTCATTAATTACTCTCCATAAAAAATAATTGATATCGAAGAGGAATAGTAAGTTTTCATATTTTATATAAACAGAAGTTGAAATCATATGACATATTTGGAAGGAGAATTTTAAAGGAAAGGATATCCAGTGAAATTGATGATTGAGTTGAATCCAAGGAACTTGATGAACAATAAAGGAAGAATTCTCATTAACAAGATGACCAATTTATGAAGCTAATTCAATAATTTTTTGACAAATAGCTTTCCAATAGATTGATCCTGAAGAGGTCGTTGAATATGGTATAGTGTTGTGATTTTTGAGATACTTGGACTTCCAAACCTGGGCCCATAACTTATGTTGCACATTTAAATATTTCCAAGCTACCTTCTTGAGAAGGGCATGATTGACTAAATTTAAATTCTTGAAGCCTGATCCTCCATAAAATTTGGTAACATAAGAGTGTTCCAGAAGCACCAACAATAATGTTGTTTTCTAGAAAATGAAACCCCCTCCAAAGATTTCTTATTATTTTATCCATATGATCTATGGTTTTATGAGGAAATTTAATAAGGCTCATTGAATTGATAGGAATAGTTTGAAGAACAAATAGGATTAAATTTTTTTCCCCGCTTGACTAATTGTTGAGGCTTTCCAATTGTTTAATTTGACCTTAAGATTTTCAAGAGCATAGTTGAGCTTATCATGCTTATTACGGGACCAAACGAGAGGAGGACCCAGATATTCAGAGTTCCTATTAAGAGGGCCCATATGCAATTGCCTTTAATCATGCATTGATGTCTTTGGTCAATATTTTTACTACAAAAGACACCAGATTTTTCCATGCTGATCAATTGGCCAGAAGCAGCTTGAAATTTAAGAAGATTTTGGTTCAAGTTATCTATGTCTTCTTTATGGGCTCGGAGGAATAACATCACTTCATTTGCAAGAATATGTGAGAAATTTTTGAGGAATAAGGGATTATTGAGATACCCTGCAACTTTCCTTCTTGCTCCGCCTGAGACTGAAGACAGGATAAGACCTCCATTGCTAGAATAAATAAACAGGGAGACAAATGACCTCCCTATCTAAGACCTCTAGAGGGACAAAAATGTCATTCATAAATACCATTAACCAATACTGAAAAGGAGACTCAGTAAATGCACTCCTCAATGATCTGACAAAATTCTTCTGAAAAGCCAAGAAGATATAAGATTTATAGGAGAAATTTCCATTCAAGATGGTCATAGGCTTTTGACATATCTAAATTTAGTGCGATAAAGCATGTACCTCATTTTTTGTGCTCGAGGTAGTGGAACATCTCCTGAGTGATGATAGAATTGTCAGACATGTGACGACCTTGAACAAAAGCTACTTGATTTGGAGCAATACATTTATCTAAAAGAATATGCAATTTGGAAACTATTAGTTTATCTATCACTTTGTAAATAACATTATGTAAACTAGTAGGTCTACAGTCATAGACTTTTGTGCAATCTACCTTTCTAGGAATAAGACAAATGAATGTGTGATTCAACATTCTCAGAAGTTTCTTATTTTGAAAGAATTCTTGGACTACTTGTACTGTTTATGACCCCATCAAGTCCCAACATTCCTTAAACACTAAGGCTGGCATTCCATCTGGCCCGGGAGTTTTAAGGCTTCCAATATTAAAAAGAGTTGATTTAACTTCATAAGGTGAAGGAATATTTAGGAGCATGTTATTTTCCTATTTAGTAATAATTGATTAAATAAATGTGAAAATTTCTCAATTTCTTGGGTCTCTTAAGTTGAATAAAGATCTAAAAAGTATTTTACACAAATGTGGGCAATATCGTCATGGGAAGATTTCCAATTATTCTGATCATCCATGACTCATTCAATGAAATTAATTTTATTTCTAAATAAGGTGCTCTCGTGGAAGAAATGTGTGTTTTTATCTCCCAAATGTAACCAAGTGTGGCAATATTTCTGTCTCCAAAAACTTTCAATTTGCCATATAGAAATTTCATACTCTATATACAAGCTAGTCAAGATGGGGGAATTCTCCAATTGTTAAGCCTGGATGATTTAAACTTCTAAATGTTTTATTTTGTCTTTTGGCTCTATAAAGGACTGTCGTCTCCATTTGTTTAAATTATTTTTCATTCTATTCAATTTTTGGGTTAATTTATAAGCCGCATATCCATTGATTTGACAATTCCAACCATCCTCCATGACTTGTTTGCATGAGTTATCAACTAACCACGTCTCATAGAATCTGAAAGGTTTGGGCATATTTAATATATGAGGGTGAAGGTTGAGAAATAGGGGATCGTGACCTGACCCCCATTTAGAGCCTAAAGATAAGGTTGCATTAGAAAATAATTGTAACCAGTCCGGGGAAATCACAACTCTATCTAGTGTTCGTTGGATATGTCATTTACTTATTTTATTTGACTAGGTAACACCTCCTCATTGAATATTTAGTTCTAATAGGTTTTGATGCAAAATCAGATTTCTGTATTGCTTAGAAGTTAAAGAAGAAATATGATGAGTTGAAGTAGAAGGATCTAGAGAGTCTAAAGAAGTTGCTTCATTAAAATCCCTTTTTAGCACATAAGGAAGACTGATAGTTTGGAGCCTAGTGTTAAGGTCTGCCCAAAATTATTTATTTGGTGTTTGATGGAAGGACCATAAATAAAACCTATAAGCCAAGAAATAGAACTTGAATTAATTTTGAGGAAAACATACATTGAATGTGATTGAAAAACTGACACCTCTAGACCAGCTTTCCATAAAATCGTGAATCCCCTTGCTCTCCCTTCAGGAGTAATCACATAAGAATTATGATAACGTAGTTGATTTACTAATTTATTTATCTTATCATTATGAATCTTTGTCTCACTTCAAAATAAGAAATATGGATTTAAATGATAGGCAAAATCTCTCAAACCTTGAATTGCATTGGGACGCGCACCCCCGGTAGTTCTAGCTCATGATTAACATTGATAGGGGTGGGGCTAAAAAGGGCTAGCTCACGGGGAGATGCTCCTAACGCAAGGAGGTAGTGTTTTGTGGGTAGGCATAGATGGAGTTCTTGTGGGTAGGAGATTTGGATTCGTAATGATCAGGGCATACTCGTTTTTTCCATAAACCAAGACGGTGTTTGAATCCATATCATTGTGTTTTTCATTTGGACTCCATGTGATTTGACTTCAAAACACAAGAAGTTGATTAGCTAAATGGGATGATTTGGTTTGAAATGGACATACTTATTTGAATTTGCATCAACACCCCATAGGTGCCCTACATGCACATCTCAGCGTGCATTGAGAACATCTCTCATACTTGTCATGTGGAGATGTTCCCAATACACGACTGGAATGGGGTCGTGGGGCAAGTGGGACACATTCAATGGGGCGCTAATCTAAGCTCTTTTTATATTACATTTGATTATGTCAACACTCAATATAGGGGGTTTTCCCGCTTTGCACTAGTGATAATGTATATCTATATATATCCATATACTATATCAAAGTGGGAATGCAATTTAAAACATTTTTGGACTAAAACTACCATTTACTTCTTTGTTTGAGAAAGTGTATAAAAGCCATTTTATTATAGCTTTAATGTCGGCTTTAATGGCTACTAAAATGCCCATAATTGCGTGTTTAGTTCATCTCTAATGGTAAGGGTTGAAAATGTAACTTCAATTATTACTTCCCACTTCACTTAATCCATTCTCATTAAGTTTTATAATTAAATTATTAACTCCTATCTTCTCTTATTAAATATAATATTTAAGTTGTTTTTTACTAATAATTGCCACTAATTAGGTCTATGCCAATATTTTTAACAACACAAGCCCATATATTTTAAAACTAGCTCAAAAACAAAATCATTTTTTGTCTAAGTGGTGGCTAAGAAATTCAACCATCTGAATCAGATTGATCAACCTATGAAGTCGTAGTTAGGTAATAAAATTCTTAAAATAGGAATAAATATAGAAAATTACCAAAACGTAAAAAAA